TCAGCAGCGATGAAGACCACGTGTCGTCTGTTGCTTGGCTAAGATTTCCACGTCATCTGTTGACTGTGCTCGTGGTTCGCCTATCATCCACCCGTCTGACTCTATTTGGTCCATCCGTTTGATATACGTGAAAATGAATGTCATCTGTTCATCATCCCTGATCGTCCTAAGCCGAGAACCGTCTGCATTCTAACCCTAATATTTCACTTGATACTCAACCAAATCACATGGGGTTTGTTTCTGCACCTTCATTTAGGTGAGATGAACCTATTTATACGATTAAATACACATGAAATACAAACTTTCTTCATAAGGTCAAAACCGATGCCAGATTTAGGGATTTTGAGTTAGACCTTTGCCCAAGAGGTGAGGCATAGATTAGTTTTGTTCCTGAGCTTTGCCTTGAGTCCACAAACCTCCTCTAAGTGATGGTTCAAGCTGCGGTTAGACCTAGGTATGTTCGGACCAAAGGGTGACTCGGGCTTGGTCTTGAACTATGGTAGAGGGCTCGAGAGAGGGGGCTTTGGATTGAGGAAGTGGTTTTTGAGGAGTTTGATTCTAAGGCTGAGAAATGCCCTAGATTCCAATGGTAAGATTGAGCTATGGTTGTGGGAATGAGTGACTGAGGATGGTTGGATTGAACTTAGGATCACTGTGAGAAGCTCTGGAAGCAATTTGACAGAGTTTCCCTAAGGATTTCGATGCTCTTCCATTTTGACCATAAAGGTGGCTAATTTATAAGCTCGACCAAGGGGGGGGCTCTGAGCTACCATTGCTAGGTGCAAGTAAGCTTAGGTGGAGGGAAAAATGACGTAATTGGCCAATTAGGGTTTGCCACATTAGATGGGTGAAATTTGGTGTTTAAGCCATGGTGGGGGTTCTCTGTTTTGGGTTTTCCGACAGCTAGGGTAGCCGGTCAGGCTAGGGCTGGTGGCTAGCTGGCTCAGGAAGCTCAGGAGAATAAATGGTGATAAGCTTGGGGCTTGGGAAGGCTGGTTGCATGATTTATTAGATTTAACCAAATTAAGGAGGGTTTTTTCTTAAATTGCCATTGGTCTATGAATCAAAGTAGGCTTTTGCTAGGATTGATGTGGTCAGCTCATGTACTTAGGATGAGGCTGAGGTGATTAAGGTTTAATTAAATCAAAAGATTTGGGGTCAATTTTGGATTTAGACTTAAGATTGGATTTGGGCTTGAAATTGGATTTGAACTTTGTTTGGTTTGGACCTAACCCAATTTAAGGCTCAGATGAGTCTTAAATATTGTCATGATGAACTTGAGATATGGATTTGGTGAAATTGAGTTAATCATATGGCTTAATTTGGTAAAAAAATTGGATTTCGGGTGGTTGGCTTGAATTTGGAATTTTGGCTTGAAATTTGATGCAATTAGGTTTGATTTTGATTGAAATTGAGCTTGAATTTGACGAAATTGAGTTTGGATTTGAAATTGGGTGAACTTGAAATGAATTTGATGAAAAATTGGGGGTGATTTGGAAATTTTAGGAATTTGGGGGTAATTTGAGAATTTTGGCAAATTTTGTAGGCCTAGTATGCGAATGAGCAGCTACCCATTTGAGATGTAAGAGACTCACTCTCTGCTTTGTGACTTAGCGAGAGCTTCGAAAAAATCGAGATGTTTTTAATCAAAATAACCATCCATTTTGGCGATCTCTTTGCCGATTATTACGATAATGTAAGAAAAACTTCTTTTATCGAGAGCATTCTTGAGTAACCTCAAATATGTAATTAACCAAATGGATACATTCCTTGGGGAGTGCTCTTGACCAAATAAAAAAAAAACTTTTTGGTTCTTTGGATATAGGTGACTTATGTAACGATTTTCTTCATAGATATTGTGTTTTGAGGTATTTCAATCTGATCTTGTTTGGACGTATATTGTTGACTTCTCGCACGAGGATTGCCGTACATAAGCCTTCCATGCTTCATTTTAAAATTTATTTGTCTATGTTCATCATATATCCCATATTTTCTAATTTCTCTCCTCCTCGAATCATTTATATGACAGGTGGGTGAGGGGGGGGGGGGGGGGGGGGGAGGGCTTTATTTGAAAAGGGGAATTATACAAGGATGACATATTAATAGATGGCGACTCCAAGTTCTTTTAAAAAGAACCCAAAATATCTGTATCAGTTACACTCGACCCGGAAGTTGTGGAGTGGGTGCTACATGAGATCCACAAGCAGACCCGATTCTATGCCATTCAACACCAGTGCCAGTATGGATTTATACGCTAGAGCTTCAAGCCCATGCAGAGAGGGGAGAGACCACCAACACCACCACCATTCGTGCTCTACACTTTAGGTGACAATGAGATCAAGGAAGAGGACAATGATGAGTAGAGACACAGATGACTTCTCTTTTTTTTTTTTTTTTTTTCTATTTGCATATTTATATTTGTACTGATTTAATGGAATTTATTTGTATTTCTGGAATATTTCCGTTATATGGTGATCATATGTATGGTATTGTTTGTAGTTTATTTCTTGTCTTGAATACTAAGCTTGTGAAATATAACCTTACTTGTTTTGAAATGATACACATGGTTAATTTTTGAATCAAACGGATCACGAGGGGAATCTGGACGATATGATTTGATGTAAATGCTTGTTAGAAATAAAAAATTAACGTTAATTTTAAATAACCAAGTCCTTCACTTTAACTTTCACTTGAATCTAAGAGGTCTCAAAATAATTAAAAGAGTATAATTTAAATATTATTAGTTGACCATGAATATTTTCAAACCTTTTAAGTGATAAATAAGACAAGTCAATTGAATCTTAATTTTCAAATGAATTATAATATGTCAATAAATCATGCTAAGAAAAATGAGTGTTATTAATTAGAAATACCATTTGAATCCTATTTTGAAATATGAGTCTTGGAATCCCACATGAAAACTGGAAATACCATTTGATTCCTATTTTGAAATATGAATTTAATTAGACAAGCAATAAGTTCAAGTGTAATATGAACGTATATGATTGTGTTCCACTGTGAGTCTCGTTGTGTCTCCTTTCAATTGTCATCCAATCTCCACTCGCCTACAAGGAGTTCCTTATTGTATAGAGGACTACACGAGCAAATGTTTGATGCCTTCAAAGATGGTGTCTATGGAAAATATATCCCAAACTCTTGCTGCATAATCTTTGAAATCTTAATCTAAATTTGGGATTTGATTTACACTAAAACTTTAATCCAATCTTAAATCATATCACTACTTCTAAAACATAAAAAATCATCAGATATTCCACTATATCAACTTCTCCTTTAAAGCTAATTTATAGACCGGTTTTGAACTTTTAGATGACATATTACTCTCCATTTTGTTCATTTATGTGAAAGGTCGTCTGGAAAGTTCATTCCTAAAAATGATTGTCAAGCACAATTGACAAACATCAAGTTCAACATAGAATCTAAAGATCTTGACGCGCCCCTTGGTAATAAAAAAATAATTGATCCTAACAACATTCTTAAAATAAGGCCTCTCATTAATTTCTTTTCAAAAGAACGGTTTAAAAGCCTATTTTGAGAGGGAAGCAGGTAAAGATCATCATGACACCAATACATGATGAATTTACTAAGAAGTTTGTGCCCACAGTCCTACACCTACAATACAATGTAAGAACAAAAGTAAACGAACCAAAAGGGTCTGTATCACGATAGCTGAGAATACCAAATTTCCAAAAGCAGAATGCACATCAGTTAAAAAAAGTTATGTATCTAGAGAGTTTTCCCTCGCAATTGGAGATAACAAATCTTGAAGGACCTTCTGTGTTGAACTATCATCGAAAGAACATGATCAACTCCATCCTTTGCATCCACAGACTGAGTCTAATGATCAACCGACAATGTGTACACAAATCAACAAACAAACATTTAAACACTTTGAAAAGGTTGAGAGGTTGACCAATCAATAAATTATAAGGATTATGACACTTCACACTAAGGTATTTACTTAGTCGGCAAGACGGACAGGACCTTGATGGGTGTTATCGGCCGGCTAGGCTTGGTAGGTGTTGCTAATCAACTTATCTTCTATTAGTAAGGGGTTGCCCGATCGACTATGTTTTATCAATCGGTTAGTCGAGCCGACCTACGGTCCTCAATCCCTAACGAAAAACTTCTAACGACTGGGGAAAGTCAAACTATTAGGTTGATGGTGAATCACTATTATCTGATGCGTAGTTGCCCCTAGACAAATAGATCTCAATGGATGGTTGAGACTTGTTTTATTGATTTTGTATGACGTTCAGAGAGAATGCTTGATGTCTCTAATAAAACTACAGGACCAAAGGAGTTAGCTTTTTTCCTTGGGTCGGTTTCATCGTGGGTAATGACTTGAATTGCCCTATGCTCAACTTCTGGTCGACCCGCTTAGGCTTGAGCTTTCGGTTGCCTTATTTGGCCTTGGCCTTGATATGTCAGGTCACACAATCAGATCTCCCTTCAATTGGTGGACCTTCTTTTGAAATGCCTTTTTCAGTATGTACCGTCAGGCCTTCTAGAGATTTTGGCTTTTTCTGTACACAATGAACAATATTTTCAAACCAATACAATTAAAGAAAAAAATCACAATCATGAACAACCAATTCAAGACAAAAAAAAAAAAATCACTTTATATATATATATAATTAAGGAAAAAAACTCGAAAAAAAAAACTCGAACAACTTCTTAATGGAATATCTAATATTATTATGCCCCAATGATTTTTCGAATTTCAAAACATTATAATCCCAATAAAATTTTTTAGTATACTTTTAAAAATAAAATAATGAATACATTTCTTTAATTATAAATGTGTATAAATACATAAATATAAAATTAAGATCGGAAAACAAAAACCGCCATGTAATTTTATATTTTGGAGCTAATCTCGTGGCCATAACTCGATGTTACAACAAGGCAGGTGACACCTTACTAACATTTTTTGATGAGTCCTAATCACCTACAATTGTTTTAAATTTGAGATTTGCGAGGCAAAAAGCGTCTTCCCTAAGCTCTCACCTGCGGCAGTCGTACGCCCCCACCCACTCTCCGCACCCACTCTGACGCTTCCATTGATTTCACATTTCGCCCTCGCCGCAGCGCACAGAGACGATGGGTTGTGCGCAGTCGAGGATAGATAACGAGGAAGCGGTGTCGCGATGCAAAGATCGGCGTCAGTTCATGAAAGACGCCGTCGCGGCTCGCAACGCGTTCGCCGCCGCTCACTCAGCCTACGTCGTCGCCCTAAAGAACACAGGGGCTGCTCTCTCCGACTTCGGCCAAGGGGAATGTCCGGACATTGCCGTCTCTGGGACAGCCGGCACTCACATTGGTCCCTCTTCTACCTCGGGGGTCCCCTCTACCTCTTCCGCCTCCGGCGTCCCGCCGTCGATGGAGAACCTCCCTCCTCCTCCTCCACCGCTTCCTGAATTCTCCCCGTCACCTCTACATCGCTCCGTTAGCATGCCGGACCTCCCCAAGAAATACGCCGGAAAATCCCCTATGGATGACGCCATTCGCGAGGAGGACGACCATGAAGTAGATGATGAATTCCATGATCATGATGGCAAAGGGGGCGGTGGAGTGGCGCCGGAAGGCTCAGCCCCCGTCCCCTCATCCCCTGTACCTTCGCCACCGCCTCCGCTGCATTCTAGGGCGAAACCCTCTCCTTCACCTCCTCCGCCTCCAATGCCGGATTCTGGCGAAATGGGAAGATGGGATTACTTCTTCGCCATGGACGAGAATATGTCGATGCCGGGGCCATCTCTGAGTCAGGCCGTGGAGATTCGGCCGGAGACTGAGGCGGCCTCAGTCGGTGGCGATCTTGGTGAAGAGCTTCCTGCAACGCCAGAAAAGGTTGTTGTTGAGCCAGTGGTGCCAGTGAAGTCCTTGAAGAAAAAGCAAGGTGGAGTGGTGCATCATCAGCACGCAGCTTCGACCAGTGCTCTGGAGACGAAGAAGGGGAAGATTGTGGCGGCGCCTTCTAATGTTAGTTTGCTCCAGGTGCTGATGGACTTGGATGAACATTTTCTTAGGGCATCTGAAAGCGCACACGAGGTGTCGAAGATGCTCGAGGCTACTAGAATGCATTACCACTCTAATTTCGCGGACAATAGAGGTGACATTGATAACTCTCGTTTCTCATCTTGCTGTATGAGCTGCTAAGTTTTGCTGTTTTTCACTGGACGAATATTAGGCCACTTTTGAAATGGTTTATAGTTTTTGTGATTTTTTGAGATAATTAGAACGAAGTCATTTTTTTGGGTCAAACTCTAATTCTGTGATAGCTGTTTTCTTCTGTGACAATGGAGGGCACGTGGAGCGCTGAAGGGGAAGATTAAAAGTAGTGAAGCCGAGTTATTTTTTGCCGGGCTGAAGGGTGTGGTTTGTTACGCGGTAATAAAGAAGAAGCGCAAAGTTCATGGATTCCCGTGGTTGGGAAGAGAAGAAATACATGTTCAATGTGTCAATGACTCAACGAAACTGTGAATCTCTTGAGGGACTGAACAGTTGGACGAGACCAAAGGAATATTTGGCGTGGTTGTTTTTGCATCAAGCACTATGTGCAGAGTGTATATTGGTGTTTGCTGTTGTGATAGGCTGATACAGGTAGATGTGGATGTTTTTACTGGTGTGGATGAGGATTTGCTGGTTAGAGTAGGGTAGATAAGGACTAGACAATGGCTTAGAATCAGGTAGATGAGGGTAGGTAGACCGATTAGTGCTGTGTGGATAGAAATATATTGATTTGTTAAAGTTCGGAGAATAAAGGTAGACTTTTGGGTTGAGCCGAGCATATGAATATAACTAGTAGAACCCAGATATGTTGTTGAGCCTAATTTCTTCCAAGCTAGTTCAAAAGTGGGGTTCAATTTGATTATCTTAGCTTTCATTATTGTGGCAAGTGAACAATTGTGACTGAGACCACAAAAAATAAGATGCTACATTTTTTCTCTCATTTTCAACTATAGAAGTTGGCATTTGAAATTAAAAACATGCACATTTTTTTCATTTGTCTATCCCTTATATCCAAATGGCAAATGAACATATTAATGTTGGAGGTTGGACAATGAAAGTGAAGCGAAAAAACACAAGTAGCTTCTTGTACTGTTAAGGAGGGTGAAGGCTAAAGCTAAAGAGATTTCTTGGTCCTCAATTTCTTATGTGCCGCTCTCTACGAAGTTGATAATGAATAAATTCCTTTAGGCGTGAAATGTGAAGACTTTAGAGATCTTTGTGCTAGCTTTTCCCTCAAACCAGTGAAGTTGATGATCTACTTAGGGGTTTTGAATCAATGACAATGGGAGTAGAGTTGCGAACGACTATATTAGATTTCAATAACAAATTTTGAAGGCAATTTTTTGCTGATATAAACCAAAACGTGTTCACTAATAATGAGGCAAATTTTGGGATAACTGTAGTAGTAAAGTTGTTGGGTGGGTGCCAAACCTGTCTACAATGGAATTTACTTGGGAAGTGTACTATTGAAGTTTTTGGTAGGTTTACTAACAAGGTTCTCTTTAAAGACCACCTTAAAGCTGGAAGATGGTGTAAGCACACAATCATTGGAGACAAGTTAAGCAGACTGCTTATTAGAGAAGTGCAAAGGGCTAGCTAGGGAGAGTTAGTCTAAGAGATTGGGGAGCCATTTGCCATGGAGAAAACTGGAGAGAAATAATGTGTTGAAGAGGAAGGAGATGCAAGCACTTCCCTTGTTGGGATGTAAGTTAGATGCCAAGGAGAAAATGGTGAGTTCATGACATTTTACACTAGAGCTCAAATTGGAAGGGGGCTAGATCTTGGTAGGCTAGAAAGATGAGGCAGTTGGCATGGATGCTTTTTTCATTATAACAAAGAAAAGTGATGTAGAATATGGATGCATATTTGAAGCAGTTCCATTTTTATTTACGCTTCCTTGAGCTTCATTAGCCATGAAGAAATCTTATTCACTTTCCAAAGACTTAGATTATAAACAAAGTATATCTTTATAGTAGTTATCAAGGTGTTTGATGAAGAACATCAAGCTAATTTTTATGGCTCTATTATAAGATATATATCAAGATCTTAAGATGGGATTGAGGATTAGAAGATCATTATTAAGTTAAGTATGAATAAAGTGTGAAGCCTCTTAAATGGAATGAATTTGAACTCTCAAACATCGAGGCATCTTTTGATGTACGATTGGAATTTTCATGCAACTCTAGAGTCAAGCGTGCTTGTGCGGGAGCACTCTTTGGATGGGTGACCTCATCGGAAGTTATATTAATGGGGCAAACCATGATGCCATTATGCCAAATCGAAGAATATATCAATGGGTGAGAATTTGAGCTGTTATAAATGTTATCATTGCATTACCCGAGTCTGAAGATGGGAACTAAGTGTCATAGATAAAAAAGTGTTATGTCTTGGGAGCCATCTTTTGAACTCTAGTTAGGGCAAAATACTACTTGGTGAAAGCCACCTCTTAAATTTATATGGGCCACTTTTAGAATCTTATCTGCTTGGTGGATTATTATGAGTCAAGAAAACTAATGAGGACGTTAGGTACTTAAGTAGGGGAGATTTTGAAACAAAATGAAATTAATGCTTAAACATTGAGGTGTCTTTTGGTTTAACAATTGGAATTTTATTTAAAACTCCAAAGTTTAGCGTGCTCTTGTTAGAGCACTCCTGGGATGAATGACCTTCTTGGAAGTTACATTAATGGAATAAAACAATGAGGATATTTGGCCAAAGTGGACAATATCTTGATGGGTGAGAGTTTGGCCTATTACACAAGGAGCATTGATATAGAACTCATTAAATTGGAATAAAAATTAAAATTTTAGTAAAAAAAAATTGAGTTTTGAACCTTTACTTTTTAATTCTCATATGGAACGCTTAGGATTATTTTTTTAATGTTAATCAGCTTTTGGCTTGATTAAGAAATCATTTGCTTGTCCACTCCCTGTGTTTCTCTCTAGAATCTAAAATCCCTTGATTGTGGGTGAAGGATTGGCACAAATTCTACTCTCTTTTCTATTTTGCTTAACTATCCATTAGTTTTTTTCTCATTCTTCCAAATTTTCAATTTAGAAAATTTATTACTAATTTAATGCTTTAAGTTTCTAGAATGAATGAAAAAAAATGTTTTGGTGTTTTAAAAAAAATGAAAAGTATAGCTAATGTAGCTTTGAGGTTTAAAGCTTGGGGGTCAAGTTCTTTTTTTAGTTCTTTTTGGTGGAATACTATAGTATCTTTATTTTCTTGCCGCGCTCTTTTTATGACATATTCTCCCATCTTTTGAACATTTTATTGAAGCATTCTATCAAGCCCTACAGCCACAAATTCTAAATCATATTGAAGCTGTCAACTAAACTAGAGATCCTCTTGACCCAGTTTTTGATCATCCTTTCTCCACTCTCAAGACACTTTGCATCTCCACCACGTATTTAAAGTTTGACCTACACACATTCTCCTAACATCCCAAAGCTATTCCACTCACCCCGTCTTTTCATCTTTACTCTATTCCACTAACACAATATTTCAACGCTAGTAAAATCTGTCAATTTACTAGGCCATCTTGACATAATCTTGATTTTTTGTCATCCTTTGCCTCCAAACTGCTTAAAACATCACTAAACATCTCAAATTACATCTTGTTACACTATCCTAACATTCCTCGATGGTTTCATGCTTTGGATTCTTCATTAGATGAAACTCTCGATTTAAATCCCCAAGTTATCTGGTTGGCTATGACCTAACCCCTTAGCCAACATGTTCCTCCCAACCATCACCTTTAATAAAATTATTTTAATCAGTTAAGAGTGTCTCTCATATCCTTAGCCTCTCTTCACAACAAAAGAAAGCTTTGGATCACCCCTGCTAAGCTACATACTTGAGCTAAAAGCCTGTATTTTGACAAATCAAAGGCAAGGTTTGCATCAGTGCTACTACAATGTAACTTTATCAATTAATACCACTTGAATTAGGAATATTATTTTTTAGCATTGGATAATGTCTATCATCATAACTTTTTGCTTTTTAATTTTATTAAAATTAATTGCGATAGATGTCCTGTGTTATCCTATGATTTATTGGCAAACTTAGAACTAATGTAATATTTTAAATATTTGTTGGAATGTATTAGAGTATGTTTTGGTGTTTTGAAAAAATAATAGTCTTTCTCTCGAGCCGGGTGCTTCTACGTACTCTCATTTGGTTTTTATTAGTGGAAAACTTGGATATTTTTCTTCTATTTGTTAATCTCCCGCACGATTTTTTATAAGATCTCATATCTTCATATTAAAGCATTTCCTTAAAATATATTATTTATTTATTTGTCATCTGCTCTACGATCTAATCTTCACATATTTCCCTAATATGTCAAAGCCTTTCTGGTGCCTCTATACACGTTTGAGGCTCTCCACTAGCACACTTGTTGATGAAAAACTGTTATGATATAAGGGTATTCTTCTAGTGTAGCAGATTTCTTAAGAGATAGGGAGAAAGAGGCTTAGTTAGGTAGGACTAATAAATTTTTTCTGAAACTGTGTAATATACTCATGAAGAGTTATATCATTAGTGTTGAATTAGTTAGTATACCTAAAGTTAATTACACATTCTAGAACTCCTCTAAGAGAGTACCAGGATTGCATAGAAAAGAGATGGGATAGTCTAATTACACTCATCCAAGTTGCTCCATTAACCTTGTAATCTTGTCTAGGTCAGGAATTATAATTATCTAGCACATTAAGAACTTTAGGCGCCCCCCCCCCCCCCCCCCACCAAATCCCCGTTTTAGAAAGTTATTTTATATTAATTTAAATTTATCAAGATTATTTATTTTAAATTAGTCTAATTAGATATATTCAAGTTAGTTGTTAAGTTATTTTAAGTTTTAACTAATTTAATTTCTTAAATAATTAAATTTGATTATTAATACTATTTAATAAATTTTAGTTAATTAATTTTTGTTATTATAGATAATTTTTTTGTTAGATTTATCGAGCCCAAAACTATCATGCTTGGATTCCAACATTCAAAGGTAAAGTTCTTCGGAACTTGTATTCTTCTCTAGTCTTTGCTTCTATGTAGAAGCGTCTAATCTCAACATTTTAATGAATTACTTGTTCTTCT